TTTTGAGAGATGACATACTTTTCACCAGAATATTCCTGCAAAGCTGAACAACAGAAAAAAAGGAACGCTGGTTTGTGAACAATGGACAAAAACTGTTTTTGAAATATTTGTACTTCACATACACTGAGTTAAAAACTAGAGAAACAGAAAATTCTAAAGGCAAAAATTAAGAATATATGTTTTGTAAAGCAGGCCACAAATGAAGAAATAGCAATGTCACTAGACAGTCAAATTTGTAGAGACAGAAAGTAGAGTGGGGACTGCCAGGGGCCAGGAGGTGGGGGGAACTGGGGAGTTAGTGTTCAGCGGCTAGTTAATTAGTGGGTAGTTAGTCCAGTTAGTGTAGTTTTGCAAGATGAAAAGAGTTCCAGAGACGGGTGGGGGTGATGGTTGCACAACAGTGTGAACGTGCTTCTAAACTGTACACCTAAAAATGGTTAGGGTGGTCTATTTCATGTCATGTGTACTTTAGTACAATTAAAAATTTTTAAAAATTAAAGAAATAGCAAATTAGAGTGAAGATATAACATGAAAACCTTATAAATATGCACTGCAGACCTTTGTTCACCCTGGGAGAAGAGGGAGACATATAGGAAGAGCAACCGACTGGGTTTCTAGCCCTACCCGGAATAAGATTCAGGCCCCCTGGCTCTGTGCCTTCATGTGCATTCTCTGTGCTCTAGCCACATGGGCCTCCTGTCTGGCCCTCCAGAATGTCCACTTTGTTTCCACACTGGGGCCTTAGGACCTCCTTGTTCCCAGGACCTAGGATGCACTTCCCCCAGATCTTCATCCAACAAATATTTATTGAGCACTTACTATGTGCCAGGCACTGTTCTAGGCCTTTGGGAGGCGTAAGTGAGCTGCCTTCATGGAGCTGATCTTCTACAGACCATAAACAATACATTAGTAATCATTGACAAGCATAGTGAATTATGTAGTAAGTTAAGTCAATGAGGGTGACGGAAAAGAAAAAGAAAGTGGAACAGGGTAAGGAGAATCAGGTGTGCTGGAGGGTAGACAGCAATTTGAAACCGGATCATTAGGGTCAGCTTCACTGAGAAGATGACATTGGAGAAACGGTGGGAGGGACGCAAAGGAATTAGCCTTGCAAACATCTGGGGGAGCCATTCCAGGCACATGGAATTGTCCACGCAAATCCACCAGGCAGGGACCTGCTGGTGTCCACAGAGATGCATAGACAATGGGAATGACAGACTCAGACCTCAGGTAAAAAATATTAGAGTGAGTAAGCATAGTTGAAGGTGCTTGACTTCATTAGTCATCAGGAAAATGCAAATTAAGGCCTTAGTGTGATGACTCTCCATACCCGCCAGAAAGGACAGAATGTTCAGGATGAAATTACTAATGCAGGTGAGGATGTGGAGCCCCTGAAACACCCACGTGCTGCTGGAGGGAGGGTGAACTGGTACAACCACTCTGGAAAGTTCGTGGGCATTATCTGCTAATGCTGAACGCCACGTCACCCTATGACCCAGCAATTCCCTTCCAAGGGATAGACCCGAGGGAAATGCGCCCATACGTTCGCCAGAAGACATGCACGAGAATGTTCACAGCGGGACTCTTTGTAACTGTCAAAAACTAGAAACTACCCAAATGACCATCAACAGTGGAAAGGACAAATTAACACAGTGGAACACTTAGAGCAACAAGAAGGAATGAACTACTAGACCCAACCAAAGGGAATAATCTCACACACATGAGGCTGAAGCCAGACACATGGTGCATGATTCCATCTCTATGAAATTCAAGAACAGGCAAAATCCTCTATGGTGAGGGCATGTGACATAGTGGTTCCCTGGTGGGTGGGAGGGTTATGGAGCGGAATGGGCACAAGGAGTTGTTCTGCCTTTGACCCAGATCCAGATGTGGTTTTGCCAGGTCTATGCAGTTTAATATGCAGGGTGATAAAGATGTGTGCATTTTTCCTTAGGTATGTTAGACTTTTTAGAAAGATTCTTGTTGGGGGCGGGAAACAAAGTCAGGCCCGAGGATGAAGCTTTGCAATTCATCCAACAAAAGCAGGATGTGAAACCACGAGGAGCCCCTTGAGGTGTGCTGGGCTGTGACTCTCCACTCTAGTGCCTCCTTTCCCCCTGGGCCAGATCCTGAAGGATGGGGGCTGGGTCTAATTCGTGTTCATAAGAAGATTTGGAATACATTGCATAAAGGTACACAACAGATGTTTGTTGAATGAATAACAGAATGTACGGAAAGGATCCCTGCAGATGTAGATGCTCTGGAGGTCAAAGACAGTTGTGGATGTTGTCTCCAGGAACCCAGCATCGTGCCGTACAGTTTCAACACTGCTCAGTTCCTCCATACAGAGACTGAGGATGATCACTCCCCATCTCCACCCTAGAGAGTCATTGGGACATTCAAATGAAATCATTCAAAGAAAGCAGGAAGCACTTGAGCACATGGACTGTGTTCAGGTGTGCCTGATTGGCTCCCACGGTCAGAGATGAGCTTCTTCAAAAGTCTGTTCAACTCTCCTTCAACGCGATCACATTTTCATAATAACGTCTGGGGAAAAAAATGCCTATTATAAATGCCAATTTTTGAATGGAAACAAGCCAATTTTTGGACCATTTCTGATTTTAGGTGACAAGAAGGTGTCATTTGAACTACCCGCTGCCCGAAGGACTCTCACCCACTAGAAAACCCAGCCTCCGGCTCATTCCTATACTTCACTATCAAATGTGCCCTTGCCTGTTTGGGTGGCTCTACTCATAATAGACAAAGATCGGAAACAGCCCAAATGCCCTTCAACAGGTGAATAAGCAAATTGTGGTCTCTGCATATAATGGATAAAAATCAAAGAAGGAACCACTGTACATGCAACCATATGGACAAATCTTATCATTATAGGAAGTGCAGTGAACCCGAAACGAAAGGGAGAAACGGCCCTTTGCCTGAAGCTATGCGGTTTAAAAGGATAGGCTTTGTTCCTCCTGAAATGATATAGTTTTAACGGTTCTGTGCCTACTTGTGGGTCCCGTGTGCAGAGACACTAGACTCTGCCATTTGTGTATCGTTGATTATCAACGGTAAGGAGAAGCTCAGCCAAGAGCCTGGACGGCGTTTGGGTCCCCCCGCCTTCCCTTCCCCTCCAGGCAAGGGCGCACCAGTGTGGGAGTATTAAAAGGTGTTCTTTGTTTTAGGTGAAGGAGGACATCGCCAAGGTCTTACTAACCCCCGGGCATTTCTTGCTAATATACACATCCCCGCAACACAGATCCCTGGACAGAACATGTTGAGCACATTTCTGGCTGTTTTTAAGATTGCATTCCTGGGGATGTTGGGTAACTAAAGGACACTTTCTCACGAGAGGCAGTGTCGGGGCACGGTTAGGGCACAAACCAAAGGTTCACGTTGTCTAGGGTGGAATCTAGCTCTGCCACCATAAAGTGCTTGACCTTGGACAAGTTACTAAGTGCCTCCGTCTCTAAAAGTGGGAATAACAAGAGGACCTACCTCACGGGGTTGACAGTGTGAAACGAGTTAATATATGGAAAGCCCTCGGAATTGCCTAGCACACGGTAGAGACTCTCAAGTGTTTTCCTCCACTTCCTGCCTCTCCCCTTCCCCTCCCCCTAAACTGCCTCTCCTCCTCCTCCTCCCCGCTCGTCTCAACCCCTTGCTATTTTATTATTATTACCACTCCTGTGTTTTCCCTCGGTGAAATGGAGCCTCATATTGGAGCTGCTTCCCAGAGATGGTCAGGAGGCTCAGTCACTGAAAATGACGAAGACACTTCTGACTCAGCTGTGGGTTGGCAGCGGCACTGCGGGGAATGCTGAGCCTTGGCAAACTGCCCTCTGGTACGAGGTCTCACCCTCTAGTATTGAGTCTGAATTTTTAACCAATCAATGGGGGTGTCTTCATGACCATTACCTTCAGAGCTCTGTCCTCGGGGGGCGGGGTGGGGAGGGGGAATGTCCTTGTACACGCACCATGCCAGCCAGTGGCTCAAACTATTTTTGGAATTTTCCTGAACCCTTTCCCCATCGCCACCCCAATCTGAATGTAATTGCTCTCTTAACATTTCGGTGAGGTCGCTTTTTGAAAATGTTTCGGTCACACTTAGGTTTACAGTTATTTGTGCCTGAGCGCACTGCTCATCCTGGACTGCAACCCCCTTGAGGACAGGGAGCCCGTCTTACTCATTCCTCTATCCCCTGGCCCTCCCGCAGTGAGAACGCTCCCTCGATGCTGGCTTCGTTCCTAAGGGGCTTTGGGACTGTCTTTGCGAAGTTCTTTCAGCACTCACGGAACACTCTTCTGAATAGCTCCAGTGTGGCCGATCTGTGGCCTTTGGGGGTGGATGTGACTTCAGAAAAACACGGAAATTAATTCTAAGCCAAGTTTGGTGAATGAATTGAGCAAAGCAAATTCGGCCCTATAAATACGACTGGTTTCTTGTGTGGCTCCTGAGCCAGGTCTAGCTGCCAATCCCCTAGAAGCTTTCCAAAAACTCTTTTGCGTCGGGTTTTAGGTGAGGTGTGTGGAATCCCAGGAGGAGGCTGACTTCACGGCTCCGGGAGAACCGGGGGGCTGTAATGCTGAGATCGGCCACTAGAGGGGGGATGTGTTCCAGACCCCAAGGGAGCTTAGGCGATCACTCCAAGAACTTTCTATTTATAAAGACTGGCCGCCAGAGTAACTGCAGTTCACATCTCAGTATCTAGCAGAGCCGCTGGTGCCTCCACAGAACATCTCCTGAGCGCTGCCTGTGGCTGACGGAGGCGAGGCACCACCACGGGGACTCCCCAGCCACAGGCCTGAGTCAGGCCCAAGGTTGAGTCTTGCCTCCCTCCCTGACCCTCCTGGAGAAGTGACCCCTGAGACAAGTCACTGAGCACCGGGGCAGCCTCTTTCTATGACTCCGTCTGGCTTTGGCTGGCTGTGGGGACGAGCTGTGCAGGGCTGCCTGGGTCTCAGTGCGGTGACAGCGGCCAGCTCTTCAGTCACCATGGCGAAGGCTGGGAACTGAGGGGACCCGCGCTTCTGCAGCCTCGGTGGGGGCGCTCAGGTGAGTCTTGGCACTAACTCTGTCCTAGCACCTGAGCACGGTGTCCCGGAGGCAGCCACCCCCAGCTGTGGGGGACCCGGAGGTGGCCGGCGGAGCAGGGCGCTGCGGGTGGGCATCTCAGGCTGTGGAGCCTGGGCGCGCAGCGCCAGGTGGGAAGGTCCCAGCTGTGGGCCAGTGGGGATCCACTCTGCCTGGCTCATGTCACAGCTCGGGAACCGATGCCGGCAGCCAATGGTGCAGGTGACTGTCCCTCTGCATGTGTGAAGTGTGTGTACAGTTGTGCATGCCACTGGTGGGACGTGTGAAGGGACAGCTTAACATCTGCACCTTTTCAGCTTTGGGTTATGATTTAGGTTAACCATTAGCGGAGAGGGCCCCCCCCCCCTGATTTTTACTTGGTTTCGATGGGTTTAAAGCTATGCGATTCAAAGAGAAGATGCGAGCCCTGCAGAGTTAGATGCTGGAACCCAGACACACTGTGTTTGCAGCAACAGGTGAGGCTCATGCCACCTTCAGCAGGAAGATCAATCGAGTCCTTCTGCTGCCTACAGAGTGACTTGTGAGTAAGGGTCCAGATTTCGCTCTGCTCTGTATTCATGACCTCTTTTTGCAAAGGGAACCCCGAAGAGCATTGTTTCTGGGCCTGACTGGCAGGAGGGAAGCCTCAGGAACCTGGAGACGGCACCCCTCCCCTAACTGCTTGGCAGGATCAGAAGATGCCGGAGTTGGGGGGGCTTTCTCTCCGTACTCCCAGCACTAGCTCGCTGTGTACCTTTGCTCATAAAGCCCTTCCCTGTGCACTATTCCACCAGAGGCTAGCAATAACTGAGTGGCTGGCAGATGCGTTTCTCCCCCTCACAGAGGTGATAAACAAGCTCAGCGGATTGGGCCAGGTCTCGAGTAGTAGGAAGTGGCTCCAGGACAGGACCCCATGTCCTCTGAGCTCCCCCCCGCCCCCCCATAGGCCTATGTGGAACTGCCTGGGGTGGAGCTATGGATATCTGAGTGCTTCAGCTCTAAAATGTGGCATCAAGACATCCCCAAGAGGCCAGTAAGATGTCCCGTCCCTGGGGGAGGAAGGTCCCATTCTTTGACTTGAAACACCAAAGTCCAAGCTCCTCGAGCTTTCTCCGTATGTCACTTTGGCATCCACACCCTGCTCATGTTTCTGTGGTCCTGGTCCCCTCCCTTCTAGCTCTCAGATCCTCTCCTTGGCCCCAGGGCCCCACTGACCCTCCTCGCTGCCTGGTTTGGGACCCTGAGTCCCCGAGAGGGACTGATACATGCTTTCTGGACGAAGCAGCCTTGTGGCTGGGTCAGTGCCCTGGGTGGGACGCCTTTCCCTGGTGCCTCACCCTTGCCTGATATCATTGGCTCTTGCCTTTTGGGGCCTAGATTGGCTTGTCTTTAAGGTGGGAACAACACACTGATGCTACCTGCCCCCCTCATAGTGGTCCTGGGAGGGCAGAGAGATCCTGGATGAAAATGGGGTGTGTGCACACGCAAGAGGTGCAGATCATCTCTATTATCACCATGCTTGGCAGTGAGTTTGCACCTTGCTTGAGAGCACAAACTTGGCCCCAATGGCTGTAAGACCAATGATTGAAGGGTTCAAATTCCTGTCTCTCATTTCCCAAGAAAGAAAAATAGCTCAAAATAAAACCTGGGACAGACAGAACATTCTTAGGTTTCCTTCCCAAGTAACAAACATTAGCAGAGCTGGCTGAGCACTTCCAATCTCATCTCACTCACATCTGGCCTCTGCTCCGCCCCGGCCTCTCTTCTCAACAGCCTCCCCAGCCGGCTCCACCAGCCCGGGGGTGGGGAGAGGGTAGAAGAGGGGCCGCCTTACAGACACATTCCAGATAACAAGCCATGCATTCCAGCTCTGGTCCAGGAGCTGATCAGCAGAGGGGAAGGTGGAAGTGAACATGGGGCTAACCTGGCCCCAGCTCATCTCCACACCCCCACCGCCAGCATGGCAGCACCCCATCAAGCCCTGCCCAGAGGCCTGTGTGACCTCTGGGAAACAGAGCCTGTTGCCTTTGGCAGAGACAGGATTATCGCTCGCAGAAGAGACTCTGGCCTCCTGCTTTGCAGCTCCCCAGGATGGAGGCCAGAGGGAGGGGTGCTGCACTTAGTGCTTGTGAAACAAGGGAGGGTCCCCTGCAGCTTAGCAGCAGTGGAGTCGCTCAGGGGGCCCCACCTACAGGCTCATAGTGGGTGGAGGACTTGGACGGAGCATGGGTGTTGGGAGGTTAGCAAACTGGACATAACCGCAGCAGAGAAGCTGGGTGGGAGTGGTTTGGGGGCTCCAGGGAACCCCTGGGGCAGGGAGGGGAGATCCTGGCAGGGCTGTGGGCTCCCCCTGGCCCCCCTCTCCCGCAGGCTGGAAGTAAGGCCCCAGGGGCTGTGAACACCCTGCCCGTGCATGCCTGCATGCACGTGTACGTGCGTGCGTGTGCGCACCTGTGTGCAGGGCGTGTAGCATCTCGTTACGTGAAGCAGAAGCCCCTGTCCATCCTTCCTGGGCCATTGGAAGGACAGTTGTATGGCAACTGGCCAGTTCCGACCTCTTCTCAGCCCTGATGTCAGAGGTCTCTGGAGACTAACATCAAGCCATGAAAATAAGGGGTTTAGGTTTTGCTCTGCCTGCCAGAGCGGTTCAGCCAGGCTCCTCCTTCATTATCCCTATTTACTGACACGATGCCGATGCCTCCTTGGCCACTGCCTCCAAAGAGGAACTGATTGGCTGCCCCCTTCAGGCATTGTGCCCCCCACCCCACCCCACCCCATGCCACCTGCCAGGCCCCTGTCATCCCCTCCCAGGTGGTATACCCCTGGCTCAGCTCTCTGGGTCTCAGAGTTGAGTTTGCTCCACACCGGGCCTGGGACCCATCCATCCTCCCAGGGGCTTTTATCTTCCAGAGAATTTGCTCTTTAAAAATGGATTTTTGGTTCAATATCCAGATCATCCAAGAGCATCAGGACCAAAGCTAAATTTATGGCTGGAACGGAGCTGAAATTAGAAAGTAATTTGTCAAATCACCGAGCATATATGTAAGAAAGAGAATAGCAAGTGTTTTATGTAAATAAACACTGTAATTTGGCTCACAAAGGTTTTCCTTATCACACAAAGAATGCAAACATGTTGTAGAAAACCCAGAATATCCAGCAAACAAAAATAAGCACAAAATCCCCACAATCCCCACCAGAGTCTTCTAATAAAGAGCAACCCGGAACATCTCCAAATACAATCTTTCTTGTCACGTCCTCGGGACACATGTATATATTACAAAATGGGATGGCGTTGTACGCACTTATGGAAATGGTGCTGGTTTACTTCAAAGAGCATGCCATTTTCCCAAGTCAATGGGTACATTCCCGGAACACCATGGTGTAGACCCAGAGCCCCAGCCATCCGGCTTCAGGAGGTCATGCAGACACTGGCCCATCCCCCGGTCTCCGGCTGCCCAGGTCTTAGCGTCCGGGGGACTCCACCAAGGCCGCCTGCTCCTCGGGCTTGGCTGGGCGATGAATCCCTGCTGTGGTCCCACTGCACCCAGGTCCTTTGGAACACGTCAGCACATTTCCAACACAGAGCGGGAGCCCAAGTCTCTGTAATGTGTCCAAAGCTCCAGAGGCTGGGAAATCACTCCATGGGGGTCAGGAGGGTCAGCTCCTCCAGGCCTCACCAAGCATGGCCCTCAGGGCCCCTCTGCCTCAGGTTCTGGCCCCAGCCAAGGGCTGTTGAGACAAATGGATGGATCCCATGATCAGAAAGGTCCAAAGGGCCTCGGCCTTCCCAAGCACCGAGGAATTTGGGCGGGGACTCGGGAGACCTGGTGGGTGGCACCTGTCGACGAGAGGCTTCGGGTGTTCAGGCTCAGGGCTATGGGGATGGGCGCCTTGTTCTGCGCATTCATTTCTTTCTTTCTTTTTTTTTTTTTAAAGATTTTATTTATTTATTTGACAGAGAGAGACACGGCAAGAGAGGGAACACAAGCAGGGGGAGTGGGAGAGGCAGAAGCAGGCTCCCCGCTGAGCAGAGAGCCCGATGTGGGGCTCGATCCCAGGACCCTGGGATCATGACCTGAGCCGAAGGCAGACGCTTAACGACTGAGCCACCCACGCGCCCCTCTGCACATTCATTTCTGTGTCCACCTATAGTTTATTCTCTCTCTCTCTCTGTCTGTCTCCCCTGCTTCCTTCCTCCCCCTCCTCTCCCCTTATACTATTCTTCCTGCTGCTGCTGCAGGTCAGAATGGAGAACAAAGCCATGTACCTGCACACCGTGAGCGACCGGGACACCAGTTCCATCTTTGAGGAGCCCTTTGATGGCAGGAGCCTGTCTAAGCTGAACCTATGCGAGGATGGTGAGTGCCGCTGGTTTTGTCTTGCACTGCAAGACCTGCCCCGCCTCCCTACCCGACCTTGGCATTGTCCCCGGGCTGTCGTGACTGCCCCTCTAATACTTCCTACGTGGAATTTCAGGCTTTGAGAGGTCTTTTAATTCCTGCGTCTCTACAAATCTGTGTGACCTGCAAGATGTGTGTCCATTTCACAGATGAGCTGGTGGAGCTGGTGATTAAGGATCATATAGCCCGTCAGTCACAGAGGCGTTCCAGCACTGAGTCTCCTGACTCCTAGGGCAGGCTTTTTGCCTCTTTGCCTTGCTCTCTTCTGGGTGGGTCAGGCTGGGGTCAGGCAAAGGTCTCTGAGCTAGTGAGCCCAGACCTTCTCAGGTAAGGAGCCCCCAGTCCATTTCCCAAAGCATTTGTGAGGAGAGAACATACCTCGTCAAGGTGCTCATCCCCCCCCTGGGTCTGAGGCCCCAGATCACGCCCATAGGAAGGAGTTCCCCATCTCGGGCACCCACTGCATCTCTGGGAACTGGTTATTTGCTAAAACTGGAAATTCAGTGGATTCTTCTTCCAAAGGAGCTCAAAGCACCTTGCCAACAGACTGTATCCTGTGTATCCAGAGCTTGACACTTGGTAGGTGCTTAATAAATGCTTGCTACAAGAATGAACACACTCCTCTTTGCAGGGAGCAGCAGAGGAGGAGAGCATTGTCCCCACTTCAAAGCTGAAAAGAATGAAGTTTACAGAAGAGTCTCATAAAGACTTATGGCCAGTTAGGTAGAGACAGGCTGTCATAGAGTTTTCCAGAGAAATGGAACCACGGGGATATATACGTATATAAAAAGTTTTATTATGAGGAATTGGCTTACATGATTATGGAAGCTGAGGAGTCTCACGATCTCCAACTTCAGGCTGGAGACCCAGGGAAGTGGGTGGTGTAATTCAATCTGAGTCAGAAGGCTCAAGAACCAGGGGAGCCACTGGTGTAAACTGCAGTTGAGGGCTGGAGAAGATGAGATGCTATGTCCCAACTCCGCAGGCAGGCAGGAGGAAAAAGCAAATTCTTCTGCCTTTTGCTCTATTCAGGCCCTCAACTGATTGGATGAGGCCCACTCCCACTGGGGAGGGCAATCTGCTCTACCGAGCCCACCAATTCAAATGCTAATCTCATCTGGAAACACCCATAAACGCTGTTTCACCTGGCACCCATGACCAGTCAAGTTGACAGAAATCAACCACTATGCAGGCCTTTTCCAAGGCTCTTTCAAGCACCATACTTTCTCTCCACTCTGCTAGCTGCCTTTGTCTCAAAATTACTGAAGGAGAGAAATGCCTCCCCAGCCTGCTCTAACTGTGTCTCTCCTCCCACGAGGTGCTAAGTGCCGGAAGGGAAGTTGGGTAGCTCAGAGATGGAGGGGTTCTGGACAGTCTCAGCAGGAAGAGGAGACAAGCTTTGGGTTCCTGACTGATAAGCCCCCACAGCCTGCCTTAGTAAACTGCCCACCACTGTGGCTCTTCCTCTGAATTCCATTCAACAAACATATTTTGAGGATCTACCATGTGTCAAGCTAAGGGTAGGGTGCCAAGGAAGCTCCAAAGAGAAATCGAACCATCCTTGCCCTCAAAGGGCTATGATCTCAGTGGCAGGGACTGGCCTGGGGACAATCACCCATTACATAAAGTGGGCAAAAATACGTGTCAGCACGGTAGTCCCCCCTTACCTGTGGTTTTACTTTCCACGGTCTGTTCTCCACACTGAACTGTGGTCTGGAAGCAGATGATCCTCCTTCTGACCTGTTATCAGAAGGCCTTGTGTCATTCACCTCACTTCATCTCGTCATGTAGCCATTTTATCCTCACGTCACAAGAAGATGGGTGAGTGTAGTATAATGAGATATTTTGAGAGAGAGAGAGAGGCCACATTCACATAACTTTTATTACAGTATATTGTTATGAATGTTCTATTATTCATTATTGTTGTCAATCTCCTGCTGTGCCTGATCTATAAATTAAGCTTTACCAGAGTGTGTATATATAGGGAAAAAAACATAGTACATATAGGGTGTGGTACTCTCCGTGGCTTTGGGCATCCACTGGGGGTCTTGGGAGTATCCCCCATGGGTAAGGGGGGACTACTATACTGAAGTTAGGAGAAGCTTTTGCAGAAAAGACTTTAAAGACTGAACACAATTTTGTAAGGGAAGAGGAGGGTAGGGAAATGTGTCACCAGCTATGTCGCACCAAGCCGGGCCAGTGTTCCTGTCAGGTTACTGCTGCCTGGGAACCCTGGGTCACTGGCCAGTGCTCAGTACTCCCACGTCAGCAGAGGCCAAGCTGGTTTTCACGCCCTTGATCCCGCCTTCTCCCTACCAGCCCCTCAGAAAAGAGGACTGGCTTGGCCAGAAAGAACTGGGGTACAGAACAGTGGGGGAGGCTGGAGGACCACCAGGGCCAGCCTGGGGTGCCAGTCGGGGCAGGGCAGGAACCCCAGGGCAGGGAGAGGCCAAGGGTGCGAAGTGTCACCAGGCCTCATACCCCTTACATCATCTTGCTGTCTCTTTTTCTGCACCCCAGGTTTTAAAAGACCATTTGGACCAGAAGGACTGAAAATAACAGTAGTCTCAGCCACCGTACCTTCCAGGCCCCCCAGCGGGGAGGAGATCCGATCAGAGGACAATTTTAGAGCCCTGCCAATAAAAGTCCTCAGGGGTCCCCTGAGGCCTGGCACCCCTGAAGTGCAGACACAAGTTGGAAGATGTGAGGTGGAGGCTGACTTAGCCCTCCAGGGCCATGTGACCTGAGCGGGTCACATCCCTCTCTGGGCCTCCATGTGTGCCAAATGGGGGCAGGGCAGAGGGGAGGTCTCTGTGGGGTTCTGTCCAGTTCTAGAATTCTGTGCATCAAAACAGACCTGGTCTTTGCACATAGTAGGTGCTCACTAATTACTTATTGGATGAATGAATGAATGAATGAATGGACACCGGGTTCTTGAAATCTAAAGGTGGCAAAACAAATACATTCTAAGCCCGATCTCTAAATTGCCTGGTCTCCCCCACTCTTCAGGGATCTGGCCTCCAGCCATTGGGTGGGGGGTCGGCATGAGGAACCCAGAGAGACCAGAGTGTTGAGATGAAATCAGCCATCGAAGCTCGTGGGTTTCTGGTTTGACTTTTTCCCCCTTCCCTTTCATTTCTAGGAGGAAACCAGTGAGCTCTGACTTGGGGAAATTCAAGCCAGATTGGATCTGTTTCCCCAGGATTTTGTTCTTTGATCCTCATCTCTGGAGAGTGTACCTGGAGAGGGAGAGGAAGGGCTGTGGGGGGCAGAGGGAGGCTGATGGGAAAGCAGAGGGTGGGCAGAGATGGGGAAAGGGAGGGAGGCCCGAGCCGCCTCATGGGCCCTGAGGAGATTTAAACCGGTAACCTCTGGTAGGCCTTGCAGGGGCTCCGAGTCCCTTCCAGGATTTTCCCCTTGAAGGAAAGGAGATGGGGGGGAGGTGGTGTCTCCAATTGGCCCTGGGGTTATTAGGATCTGGGGAAGCAAAGTTGCAAAAATGCAGCATAGATATTAAGGTGTAACTCAGACTTGAGTGCAGGTGGGACTTCACAGACATGAGGGCGTAAACTTGTTATTTCAGAGAGGAGGCACTGAGAACCCTCCTCCCCTCCTGTCCCTCCCCCTCCCCCCTCCGTTCCTAACTTGTCTTCTCTTTCCCTCCTACCCTGTCTTTCTCTCTCCCCTTCTTTCTCCTGTAGCAGGTGAGAGGGGAGGGGGAGGGGGGGCTGTTACCTGCCTTGGTTCCTCTGTCCCCTCCAAGAGGCCATCTCGCCCAGCTCCTGCATGGTGCAACCCCACATCCTGCAAGGCGCACGCCCACAGCCCCTGCTCCCCCACATCTTGGGACCTCCTCCCTCCCCGCACCCCTTGTTGGGCCATGTCTCAGGACCCTGCCTCCTCCCTTGGGTCTGAGCTGTCAGCATCCCCATCGGAGCCCCCTGTTGATGGGCAGGCCCCAAGGGCAGGGCGGCCTCCCCTCTGTGCCACCAGGGGGAATAGCTTCCTTTCCAACTGTCTTGCTGGGATTGCATGGAAGGACTGATGGCAGAAGGCGACCTCCAAGGTCCCTGAGCCCAGCCTCCTATGACCTCCTCGATCACTTCTACCTCCCTTTGAACAGTAACCCAAATAGGGGCCAGCTGGACCCGCTTGTCCCTCTCCCCCCCTTCACTCCCTCTTCCCCTCTGCTCTCACCTCCCCCCCCTACCCCCCCACCCCCGCCCCTCCGTGTGGCCTTTCTTTTCCTGCCTGCGTAGCTGTAGGCCTCTTGGGTCTGACGCCAGGAGGGGGAGGAGGCGGAGGACGGGGTGTGGGTGGTGTTTGGCTGGGCCTGGCTCCTCCACGGTCCTTCCTGAGGGCCAGAGAGAGGTGTTAGTGTCAGAAAAATATTATAGTCATGCTCACCCCGCAGCCTCAGACACTCCACCACGCTCACGGCGTCATCCAGCGGCCGCAAATGGGAGGCTCGCGGAGGTAATGAGTTACACATGTTCCGGGCTGCGCCCCGCGCCTGCAGCCAGGCTGCTTGCTGAGTGTAGGGCCCGAGCCCCCTGCTCCGGCATTCCTTCCCCATAAAATTAAATTATTCTCCTCGGGGAACCCCCTCATCTGCCTTCTCATCAATCAGATCGCCCTGGTTCATCTTGGCGCAGCTCAGGGCTGCCGGGCAGCCGCCCAAGGTCAGGGGTGGGTTTCCTGGGCGGGTCTGGCTGGGGCCTCCTTGCTGAGGGTCACCGCCCTCTACAGGTTAGAGAATCAGGCACTGGAGCCGGAGGAGAGCTGAGGTATTAACGGTTGCGGCACCGTGGTGCTCTCGGGGGTGTGCCCAAGAGCACAGAGCAAAGCGCTGCTCCATCCGTCCGTGGTCGTGGTCACCGGGTGGCCAGGCTGGGTCCTGGGTCTCTCTTGCCCAATGGACTGCCCCTCTGTGAGATGGGGAACAGCCTGGGGAGGTG